TGCAATAGACCAGTTTAGTCGTAGGAAGATGAAGAGGTGGGAAGTTGCAACGTTCCTGACATATCGATCTGCGCAACAAAAGTCGAACTTCCTGTCGTAGATCATGTGACAAAGGAGCGAGAATCAAGGGTCGGTTAATAGGGGGTGGGTGACCTTGACGAAAAGAAAGTGTCAGTCGCAACTGGTTAGTGGCGCGAGTCTTCCAAGGCTCCGAGATGAACTTCAATAACCGAGCGCGAAGGTACAGCTGAGTCAGGTCAGTTCGACGCGACCGAAGAAGTTTCGCCTCATGGAATTTCTGTAAGGAATTGGACCCCAGTTTGTACGAGGAAAGGAAAACATCATTGGATTCGACAGGTTGTAAAGATGCAGAAAACTTGTATCTAGCATGTCGTCGAGCACGATCCACAAACCTTCGTCCTGCGCCTGGAGTCGGCAGGGTGAACCTTCGTTCACGTAGGCGGAGTGTGCTGAGGAGCTGTCCTACCCATGGTGTATTGAGCGCGGGCTGAAAATCTCGGATGTACTTGGATTCCCAGGCCAGCCTGTCCGCTGTGTCCTCAACATGTCGTAGAACAACCCCAACACCACAGTAAAAGTCACCTTGGCAAGCCCATACCTTAAGGGCAGGTTCAAAATATGCAACTCGCTGACGACATAACTGAAGAAACTTTCTACGGCGAGCAAGCTCTCGCCGATGAATTGTCTCTGCTGCTGACCCAATGTAAAATTGGGTGGCTGAACCTGATCCGACATGTTTCGTCCTGACATAAACCACTTTCTCTTGAGTATGCCACTCCCATGAATAAACACTCGGCACCTGATTGACCTGGAGGAGATCACGAAACTTGCAAAAGAACTTTGTGGAAAAGAAGCCAAAAGGAGATCGTACAGCCTGTACAAAAAGTCGAGCACGAACCCAAAGTAGGCGATCAAGCACTCGGTGAGGTAAAAGTTGGAAGAGTGCAGGTAGAATCATAGAAAACCATCGAAAGAAAGTCCGAAGAAAATGGACCATCTGGGCACGGGACACTGAGTTGTCAGACGTTCTGGTGCGCCGTGGTGCCCGGGCCCCTTCCGAACTCGGCTGGAGTCACTCCTGTCCTATAACATAGCATGCTGCAATCAACACGCTAAGGGACTTCTCCCCCACCTTCGCTGCTATGGTGACTGGAAGTCCCCACGAAACTGCTATGGCATCCAATGCTGGCCTGCTTCCTGGGGTCAGACGGGACATGGCAGCCGAAAGTTCATCAGCTGCTGCGCGAACCTGACTCATACGATCCTTACCAACCTTCGTGGAAATCCAACTGTTGATGGTAGCCACCTTCCAATTGTCAAGTTTGCAGTCATCCAGAATGGGATTCCCGGACTGAGGTCGGAAAGCATCCACTGTTTCTAGTGGATCCGCATAATCCGGCACTTCTTCGGCCGGTGCCTCATCGCTGAATCCTGCCAGGTCCGGTGAGCCTTCCCGAGAGCGAGGTGGCAAAGTAGCAAGTTCATCCGGGTCGTAGCGATCTGTTCCTGCTTCATTCCGTTGAAACCAACAATCTTCAAGGCTACGGACTACTGAAGTGGGCAACTCGACGGTGGGTTTGACCTTGGTCCGCCGGTAGGATGGGGGCTGAGGAGTCTTTGCCGAACCTGAGTTTTTAGGTGCCGATCTGGTAGAGGTTCTCGGGGTGACTGGGTCCCTCTTCTCCTTATGCTCCGTGTCCTCCGAAGGTAATCGTACACTGGCACTAGGTCGGGCTTCACGGCCGTCACCTCCGCTCTTCAATCTGGCATTCTCTCTCTGCAACTGACGGATCTGATCCATCATCGCTCCTTTCTGTTGAACAACCTTAGCCAAGTGTTCGACAAGTTCTTTGATGGCCACATATCGGTTGTCCCAAAGATAGGGGTCTTGACCTGGGAACTTGGTCTTCGTCATGTGTGTGAGGGTGGCATTGAGATCTGCACCTGATGTACCCGTAGACTCTCCACGCAAGGCTCGCATCAAAGTCCCTGCCATGATCGCTTCCTGTCGAGACTTAAAAGACTCAAAGACAGTATGTCTGCCGTTGGCCAGGGATCGCAACCCCCAGTTGGTGTTACCTCCTGTAGTGACCTGAGATAACTTCACATACATGATGTCCATGCCATCAATGTTCAAATCCCTTGTAAAGCGATTGGAGAGAACCCTGCGGGGCACGGTCAACCCGTACTCACGATTCGAATCGGTTGGTCCCTGACAAAAGAAGGCCGGGACCGACTCCGATGTCGTTGATGTTGTCCTCGTCCCCTGCTTCTGGATCGAGAATCTTGTCTGCGACCCCGACGCGACATGACTCAGCACGCAATCTAGCACACGCGTCCAGATAGCCTCAAAAGCTACAGCGTACATTCAGATTGCTCAAGGCCATATACGTGTGGAAGAGAGAGAGAGAGAGAGAGAGAGAATGCAAAGCACACGACTGGATACCTGCGAGGCAACTGCTTCGTTTTGGCAAAAATGGAGCGGCTCTGATCCTGCAGGTTGCAAGTGAAAACCTGCAACAATGATGCATCCTGACAGAATTACAGGTGGGAGAAAAGATGATACTCATCTATTCCAGTCGTTTCTTGACCTCCTCGGCATGAGTAGGTCCTAGGTGAAACAATGGTCGCCCCAGTCGATCCCGTCGTGGCTGAAACTGTTTCCTGACTGCAATGACCACGCCCGAGACCGTAGTCAAGTCTGAGTGAAGCAGCCATTTCCGGTCTCTTTTGAAGTGGACCGCCGCGTGTATCATACACGCCTGTTGGGCCTCCTGTCCACCTCCCGAATCAAGAACGCAGTGACTGCTGGGGGTAGATACCATCCCTTGGAAAATGGCCGGACACTGCCATTTGCCCGACGCAACTACCCTGTCAAGCACCTGAAGCTGGCTCTCATTGTCAGTCCAATTGGTAGCTTGACTGTAGTGCCCTACAGCAGTCGGCCCGTCTGCAATCGTCGCAGGGGCTAAGTACCTGGAGTTGATAATCCCTTCTGCGCCCCCTGAGTTCGTGCCATGTGCGAAGAACAGGGTATGACGATGCACCGCCGGGTCGGTGGGCTTGGTTGTAAAAAACTTCGTCAAGTGATGCTTCCAATACACCTGCTGCTTCGATTCATAGAAGGTCACCTGATCGAAAATTTCCTCAGCGGGGCCGGTATATTGCTGAATGAGGTTGGCTAGAAACATCCATTCCATCTGTGGTGGCAAGTGGACCCTGGAGGACTGGTACAGATCATGTAAAATCCTGGCATTCCTCTCAACCACATCCACTGGAAAGGGAGTGATCTTAAGGGGTTCCGTCCAGCTTACCAACTTCACAGACATGGCACCTCCAATGGCATCACCCTCAATGCCATGTTCAGTCTCCAAATGTTGGGAGCTACCCAAAAGTCGAGCGTCCCATGCAAACCTCGGAGACTCCGGGGGTGTAGTCTGAGCACGTTCCTGTATGGCCGAGGAAACCTGCGAGTCGATTGGGTCCTGATATGATGCACTGGATTTCACCGACATGCGGGACGAAGGAGCTTCCGGCCGAGTTCGACTGCGTGGGCCTGAGGGAGCAGCAGGATAGCCTGAGGAGCTGGGGGAAGCAACCTCATCCATAGCTCCACCCATCTGTGCTCGATCCTGACAAGAAATTGGAGCCGGGGGTGTTGGGGGAGTAGGCGGCGGTGGTGCAGATTGACCTTCGCGAAATTGCCGGCCAACAGACCCTCGAGCCCTTGCTGCATTCTTCGGCGTCTTAGCAGGACGACTTTCAGGTCGTGCCTTAGGTCGTGCAGCTCGAGGATCCCTGGTAACACCTGCAGGAGTGAGGTTGACATCGGCACCTTGCAGAGAAGACTTCGCTGCAGGGATCTCCGCATCGTTCGAATCACTGGAAAGATCCGAACGTTCATGACCCTGCGGGGCGAGAAAAGCTTCAATGTCCTGCGGGAGTGGTGCCTGATATGAAATGTCCATACCTGCAGCGAAATCAGATTGCACCGACACATCGTCATTCGAGGCTGCTTCCTGAAAAGGAGAATCATGAACACCTGTCCGGGTGATATCCACACCTCCCGGGTCTGAACCAGACTCACTGCTACGAGCATAGTTGTCTGCCATGTTGCTGGAGGAGGAGTCTTTACTCCTGTGCACTAAGGACCCTTGGTCACAAAAGCTGCAAAGGGCCACAAATATGTGGGCATCACCCGAACCCTGGACCACAAGTCCTACACGGTCCAGTTTGCTATGGTGAGCACATGGGCCAGTACCTAGAGAGAGAGATGGCCACTTTTCGGTGCTATGGTAGGCACGACGCGGTCGAGCCGCACAGGTCACTTGGGTATTCCCGGCTCCATCCGGAAACTGACACTGCCCAGACCGGGCTAGGTGTCGACTGGCAACAAGGCCAACACACGGAGATGTGGGGTAAGATTCATTGTCGGCTGCCGCCACTTCAACTGAACTCGAGAAAGACCATATAGATGTTGTTCTGACCTGTGTATTTAATCGACGCGATGCGAAAAAAAAAGCAGATCGCAGCAACCGTGCAGACTGATGTTCACTTGTTGGCCAACTGTAGAAACAACAGCCTTTTTAAGGGTACTTCGGGCTGGCCCCGCTTGCAGGTACGCCGAGTTGATCAGACTCGGTATCCCATGACTGTGGTAGCTTCGTTGAGTGCGGTCCCACAGTCATGCCGCACTCCCCTGCTGTCATAGAAACGAAAGATTGCCAAAGACCCTTAGCTTAGAATCAGGGTGTACACACACACAATCACTCATGCGCGCACACACGGAGGTACGGAGAATGTTCTGATCATAAGGCTGCGTACAGTGGTACATGTGTCATCCCCGCATAGCAACGTAAGTTTGCCAATTCGTGACCGAGCACGATACCTAACGAGCAGTTTCCAAGCAGTTTACATCCAAAAACCATAGGCTTTCACACAGAAGCAAATCGCCAAAAGCCCCACTGCAGCTTGGAAACAATCCTCTTTGAAGACCAGGCTCACTGCGCCGTTCGTCATCACGAGCTTCTTGGCCGGAAGTGCTGTCAAATTGCTTCTGCAGCTGTTGCCTCAATTCTGGCGAAGTGCCTTTTTACGAATGGAACTGCCCAAGCTAGGAATCCTGCTGTTGCCACTGCAGTTGCTTCTCCTTCTCTTCCAATTCCCTCTGCAGGTCTAATTGCTCCTGCATCGCGGACTTTGTCTCACAGCTCCAAGGCAATTGGATTTATGCCTCACCTGGCCTCTGAAGCTGCAACAACATTTCCTCCCTATTAACTCTGCAGTATCAGGACAAGCCAACCAGCAAGGAGACTCCTTCAGCTCTCGTTCAGACCTCACGGCTGGTTGCGGTTTGTTGAACTTCAACCCCATGGTGCTAACTCGGACAATAAACAGATTGGCGATTTAGCAGAGATGCCACTCGGATGGTCTTGCAGAGTCGTGCCAACCTTGAGCGAAATCTGAACATGCACAATGCTTCCTGCAAAATCTGCACCGCTTCAGGCTCCATGCCATTCTTCAGTCGCGATGACCTCATCATCGACTGCTCAATGCACATGCTGACAGCTGTTGCACCCGTCGGGCCTTTGATCAGGGCAGTCAGCTGCCGTGCGTGCAATCTCCTTTGCTGTGTTTTCCCTCTCGTTGTCACGATGGCTTCAGAATATTTCGAGCCTAGGGCCCAGCCTGCACAGCGGTCTCCGGGGAGGCATCAAAACCTCGCCCGGTTTCGTCCGAGCAAATCTTGCAGGCTTTGTGCCAGGCCCATTGCAGCCTGTAATTGTTCCGCGGGCTGGCGACCTTAAAACTGCTGAATCGAACATAATTCTCACCCTCAGGCAGGGTTGAAAACTCTGTGACGGAACCCGCTTCGGCACGACCAGGTTGATGAGAGAAAGAATCGATGCAGGGATGTGATGCCTCGTAAAGATGCCAAGCTCCCAACTCCAGGTTTGCCGCCTGCCATCCTGTCTCCGCGTGCCGCACGCAGTAAACAGCACATGCACATACATTCAGGCTCACCGAAACCCTGACAACCCTGCGACATGTATCTTCAAGTCTTTGCAATACTTCCAAAGGAAGCAGCCGGCCTGCGTGGGTTGTTCGCTGTCCTGTGATCACCTCGCATGGAATACAATAGTGATAAAGCATTGGCCGCCTTCTGGCCATCAAGCAATGAGCCTTACCTGCCTCCGGCAGAGCAGGACCGTCCCTTGGCCGCACCTGAAATAAGGAACACACGTTCACCAGAAGCTTTCTGGAAGGAAGAGCGTTGTTGGCCTGCCTCAATAATGGCAGGATTCTTGGGCGATTCTGCAGTGTCCAAAAAGACCTGTGGCGAAGCAACAATCACACCATGGTGACTTCGCATAAACTGCCTGGTAAAACGAGTTGCTGCCAGCTCAGCATCCGAAGCCAGTTCAATCAACTTGTCCTCGCACCTGAACGGTCCGTCTTCAAGGATGAACCATCGTCTGTGGCCATAACAGCACAATTCAGACAAGCAGCAGCTCTCCAAGAAGTTTGAGTGGGACTTGGTCAAGATGATGTTGTACGGCTTCTAACTCTTCCTTTCACGTTCCAGGACTATTCCAAGGCTGTCAGTGCACGAGCTACTTAGTGTAGAACGTCATGCGATGTCATGCGCCCATCCCTGCAGTCACTGTGGTCTGAAGCACTCCCAAGCCGGTATTGCCCGCAACACACTCATTTGCTTGCCAAAACAAATCAGTGGGAGCAGCATTCCCATGTTTGTTGGGCGGGTGAAAGTTAGCATCAGGGAAGCTGCGCTCTGACTCCCTGTAACGTGCATAACTGCATATCCCCGACATGAAACAAGGTGCTTGGATGAAGAGAACCCAAGCACACAGTCATGCACAGTGCATTGCCACGCTTCACGCCCATGCAAAGCCAGCATTACACACCGTATGCCTGTTGCTCGTGCACCAAGTTACAAAGCGCACAACGGTGGAATCACACAACACACTCGGATACAAAGACTGTCGATGGATCAGCGAAAGCTGATTGTTGACCCGGCCACTTGGAATGCTACACGACCTGCAGAACCTCGGCTATTGGTTGCTTCGTCAAGAACCTTTTCAGAGCGTTTCATAGCGTTTCCGGCACGTCAACTCCACATCACAAAGCCTCAGACTAGTTGAACTTCCAATACAAAACTGCCACGCAAGATGCTTCGGATTGGTGCGAGCCGTGCCATCTTCACATCCGACGTGGACCCCCCTCAACCCGCACGGAGCTTGTCGTAGACGTGTGGAAATCTTGGAAACCGTAGAAAAGCTTCCACTCGCTCAGACCCTGGGCATCAGCGAGTCATTCAAAATGAGAAATCACTTGCGAGTAGCCTCCTTGTGCATTTCGGAAGTGGCTCCAGACTGCGTGGAGGCATAGAGATCTCTCTGTTCAGGCATTCTCGACACCATAAAACAAGCAGGTCTTGACCTGTTTGCTCTGGTTCTGCGAGCCCGGTGCGTTTTCATGACAAAGGCTGGTGCAGGCTGCTGTAGATGTCGGGAACTTCAGGAAGCCTCCAGATGCTCCAAGGGGAAGATGATGCGAGCTTTTCATTGCAATCGTGGATCCTCACATTGACATCCTTGATCACCTTATATTGGCCGCAAGGCAGAGGCGTGTTGCACCTCGATGTACTCAATCTTGCATTGGCAATGTTGCGTCTTGGCTCGTCAATGCCTGCATGTGGGGGCCCCATAATGGGAAGGGATCTCCAAATCGTTACCAAATCTCACCGTTCAAGCAGTTTCGAAACGGGCATGACAAAGCAGGAAGGCCCCAGGTCTGAACTCTTTTTCTAGTGGTGCAAAGCATCATTTTGCCCCATGTGATCGTATGAAAAACACGTCTGGCATCCACGGCGAAGGCCCCGCTTGCCCAGGACTTTGTACGCGTCGGGAAAAGCTGGGAAGCCTCCGGATATCTCTCCGGATCCTCAAAGCAAAGTGATGCGGGCAGGTCTACGACAGGGGCTGACAGGGCCTATGAACAGGGCCTACGACAAGGGTAAGCAGGGCCTGTGACAGGGTCTGTGGCGGGGCGTGACAGGGTCAGAGCTAGAGCCATGGACAGGTGAAGGGTAGGCTGTCAGGGGGGGTTCTTTATGCTTCGCCGAAGCGGGTCACGTTGCGGATTTGGGCCCGGGTCTGGCCCCTAGGGGCCCTGCTCAGCCCGGCCGCGATTTTGTAGATGTCGCGAAATTTTGGGAGTGTTCGTTGCTGTTGTGGCTCGGCAAATACTTGGCCGCCAACTCGGCCGCAAGGAAAACCAGGTGCAGTTCGATGCAGTTCGCTGAGTTTCCATGCCGCCCTGTTCTTGCATCCTGTCATTCTCCAAATTCGTCCGGCCATTGTCGAACTCGTTATTTTTGCTGCGGGCCCTCATTTGGCTGCATTCTCTATGCTTGCGACTCAGGGCCCAAGTGCTCAGAAGCCGCCTCCTCGGAAAGCAGCTGCAGCAAGTGACACTTGCGAAACCGCAGCGACAAGCCCGCGTCCGTTTGAAGCAAGGACTGCCATTTCCTTGTCCATCTTCTCGGTCTCGCAAGCAAGCCATTGGTTCATGAGCAGGAACAGTGTGTGCCAGAGTAGCCCTCGCCAACTCAACATCATCCGCGATCGCCTCTGTCACGAACGTGCTCTCCGCAGCCGAAAAGAGCGAAGGGCTGGGAGAACAAAAAATGTTCTGATAACAAAAAATGCGAGGTCGACAATCTTGAGTCAATATTTTCGAGGCCGGTTGACTTACGTCAGAAAACATAACACTGCGAAGTTGCAAGCTCCTAGCAAGTCGACCACACCAATGTTCCCTGGGGTGGCAAAGCAAAGATAAAGAGTGTGGAAAAGATGATAAGAGTGTCCTGCCCGAATCTCTGACCAGTCACACACACGATGACGACCCACAAACCCGTGATACATTGTGATCCGCAACAGGAAAAAAAGATCTCACAAAAACCTCTTCCGCCAACTTGCAGCGCTTTACACTTCCGAGAGCAGGATACTTGTGCAGCTGCGCCATCTAGGGTTTGTGTGCTGCATGCTTAGTATCCCACCGAAACTAGTGCAACCCGACCCTTTCAACCAAAGTCTCCATTGCGCGGCCTTGTTGAAACCACCGATTTCTTGCAGAACAGCACAGGCCAGGCCCGATATCGATGCCGGCGCATTGGCCAGACCTGGTCTGCACAAGTCACCCCAATATCACGTGCTAAGCCCAAAGCAGGACCGAGGGACAGACGGAATGGCTCTGGAGAGGCAAAACCAGGAAGGTTCAGTCTCACCAGGATGCTTGGCCTACCAGAAACAAGACGAACCAGCGCTGGCAAGCTGGCAAGCTGCAGCTGCCAAAGCTGACAAAAGTTGGGTTCCGGCATAGCCACACTGCAGCGGCAGCAGGGTCCAGCCAATCCATCATGCTTTGCAATGGAAGAAATGCAGCCAGACTTGCCACGTTCAGGCAGCTTGACACTTATGTAAGGCTAAGATGCAGGATTATCCAGAGGATTAGGAGCTGCTGCTGGCCACTAACAGTCATCTGCCCTTTATGGATCAACATGGCGTTTGCTGGATGGCTAGTGACTAGCCTGACAAGTTGCAGAGTTTGTCCGTGGATGTGTGGCGCCGTGACTTGCACGAACCAGTCGATGATGACTGCCATATGAAGAGTCAATGTGTGCGTCACAGGCAGGAAGAGATCTGTGATGTCGAGGACCACCATATCGGCAGGAGCAACTACTTCTAGCGACCAGCACTGATGCAGAAGCATCTCACCACAAAATTTCTAACAGGTCTTGCATGCGCAAACCTCAAGGAACAGCTTCCGGCTTGCAACATAAGTAAGGTTTGCCTCTATTACAGCCACGCAGCGAGAGACCGGCCAAGTGACGAAACAATAGGCCACTGCACCTATCTCAAACTTAGCTCTCCATGGCGCTGTCGCCCCTACACACCTCAATGTGGAGTTCTGCTGGTCATGCCCCTTTGACAGGTCCACACTCAGGCTTCCGAAACACGGAGGCCGACAGCGATCACATGAGGCATAACAGCAGGCATTTGCATGCGCTGCGACCACACACTTTCCGCACGTGTCATGCTTGGGCAAAGACACTATTACAGCCTTCTGTCTTCCGACATCTGGGGGGCATTGACGTATCGCTCGCAGGGACTTGCTCATAATCGGATCAGCTCTATCGAAAATCACGGTTGTTCCGTCCCGATTGTCATTGGCTGGAGCAAATCCTTCGAGAAGTTGAGACCGTGTATCATGCTTCACATTTCCCATACATCCGAACCAGTCCTATGCACGGCCGAGTGAGGCACAACATACAAGCATGGCACCGACTTCATCGGCATGAGCACATGATGACACGGAGTGTGCCCTGTGTTTCCAGGGACGAGATATGCACAACAAAAAGGGATGATCCTGACTTCGTTCAATCAGAATCGACTCAGTGCGCAACATCACCTTGGTTGCTCCGTGATGCGATGCAGCTTACACAACTTGACACATTGGTGAGGACGGGTGCACCTGGCATGGAGTTTTGTCTGCCTGTTCTCACGATAACACTGCAGCGTCGGACCTTGCAAAATCCGCTATGCACGCGTGGGCCTTCCATGTGCTCATGGCCATTCGATTTTTCTTATGAGTATTTTGCCACCCACGATCACGGCAACCAACCATCGCACTCGGATACTTGCACTAAGCCCCAGGGCGTGTGCGGCAGTGCAGCTGATGAAACAGGGAAAAGAACACTCCTGCAGGTGAGCTGATGCAGCGAGGATCCATCATGTACTTCCATGCTCTACGCATTGGAAGCGCAGCGTAACTGATCAGATCGAACGGAGGATCGAGTAGACAAGGTATCCATCGTATCCACCATCCACTATGACGCTTAAGGTCCTCGAGAGCATGTACTGCGTGCCCGGCCCGCTGCGGCTCTGACCTAAAAGACATGCCTACAAATGGAGAACATCATTCGGAATTTGACGGCACATTGGGCAGCCAGCCGTCTGCTGACGTCACGTGCGTTATCATCGGGGCCTTGTCCGCAGTCGATGCAGCTTTTCGCATGGACACCTGTTGGCAGGAACTCTGCCTCCACCACATGCTGCAGCGAGAAACCACGCCTCAGCTGGGGCTTAGCACAACCGTCCAGTTGAAAGCGGTTCAGAGATCTGGGGAGGCTGGGCTACGCACATGCCGAAGTACGACAGGACAGATTGCATGCAGTGAGATGTGGCCTCGCATGGCATGAGATCAGCTGCAAGCCAGTTATGGTCTAGTTATGGTTATTTAGAAAATCCGTGCCTTTCATTGCTTTTCTGCATGCCTTGCTCAGCTTAAGGACGAGGCCTTGAATCGCTTTGTGCACGTTTGCTGGTCAAGCCTTGGCTGGAGCGATGCGGTCTCTGGGGATCGACACTGGCAGTCCCAAGAGCACTTGGTGTCAGGCGGAAGGCCGCCAAAGTATTTGCAGAGCCGGAAGAGACCTTGATGATCGCGATCCTGCCAGGGCCAGGGCAAGGGCCAAGGCTGAGGCCAAGGCCAAGACCAGATCCGGGCGAAGGCCCTCTCCTCTCGGATGGTCTGCTCGAGACAGTCCACATAGATCGAAGTGTCATCTTTGTGCTGCCAAACGGACACCTCAGCGCTGAGGAAAGCTTAAGCCCCCTAGCCCGATCATGTGCTTTGGCGTTTTCCTTGTGGCAGCTGTGGCACATATTCGGTGATGCGTGGTACCGGCAACTGCTGGTTTCCTTCCAGCCCGTAGAAGCTGGCCTGCGATGCTGATCTTCTTGGCACGCATGGACCCATTCTCCAAAAAGCAGATCCTGTCCTCTGCCCGGATGGCATCTATGAACCTGACAGGCGCAGGATCACTCTGCTTACATCTCGTCACCTCACTTGGGGCGGGGCTCCAGGTCACAGGCTTTCTCCCCCAGAAGCCAGAAGCCCTGCAGGATCAACAGAGCACGTGCTCTCGGCTTCCGATGGCGACACGTCCACGACGTGTTTGCGCTGCTTCAATGCCTATACTTGCAAGCCAAGGTTCCGTGCGCAAGTATTCCAGAACATGTCTGAACAGAAAACCCGATCGGTCCACGAAGTAGTGACCTGCCAGCAAGTCTTTGAGATAACGTAAACTTGCACTCAGAACCGGCAACGCAGACAGTCGGCCTTCGCTGTCAACAGTTGCACCAAAACCCTTGGCATCAAGCACACTCTACAAGTGCCTATTCTCTCCCCACTGGAACTTTCGACAGAGTGTGCTTGCACTCTGAGATCTGCACGCCCTCCACCGTGTGTCGCAACATGGAATCAAAAAAGGGTGCCTGCATCAAATTCTGTAGAACAAAAGATAGCCATGGCTGCACCAATCCCGCATGCTCCAGGCAGCACAAAATCGTGCCAGAGGGAACGTCAGAAGGTCAGGCATGCAAGACCGCAATCCACACATGTCCACCAAAGATATAAGTCTGGTTAAGCTGCAGTACAATCTGCAAGGCACGCGTGAAGGAAAAACCTATTGTCAACACATCATAAAATTTCGTTTCACAGGCGGACTCTCGGTCAAATCTGTCCAATTTGCTTGCCCAAAGGCTCAACACTCAGCAGAATGCAACGGTTGCTGCTTTGCACGCCTTCCGCAAGGTACTTGGCGTTGTCCTGCTTCCGAACCAAGATGAACCAAGGCTCTTGTTGTCCACTTCATAAGCACTGAACACTGACACTGCTGGGCAACAAAACGACTAGTGCAATTGCTGAGGCGACACCTGAAGAGAGTGCCTCCCACCTCAGCTCTACTCTACCCAGTCTACTCACCAGCTCCTAGTTTCTCAAGACTTCCCTGCTTGGGTCTCGACGTTGAGGACTAGGGCCGGTCCGAAGAGCTCACTTCTGCCGGCCTTTCACTTACACACTTGCGTGCGGAGCATCTGCACGGACGTTGTTCAAACCCCAGGCAGGAACCTCATTTCCCATCAAACGTTGTGTGCTTCCCGGACTTCGCGAAACCTTGAACGCCGCCAATTAAAAGATGATGCAAGCTCATCACAACGACTATCTGGCTATGCATGATGCACAGGAAGCACGGTGGAAATTGAGTGCCCAACGATGCGTCCAAAGTCTGGAAACGTCCGACCTGCACTGCACCAGTTGAACATGTTACAGTCATTCATTCCCAATGTCCGTCAGTAGCTCGTGCTCAAGCGATCACGCACAGCATCATGACACACACGCGTTTGGTGACATGGGGCCACAGCGTGTATCGATTTTATGAAACCCGTACACATGCCATTCGAGGAATATCGAGGAGTTCGGTTGGTACGGTCGATGCCCGTGCCGGTTCCGCAGTTGTGCGCCTGACGCCGGTCGACTGAATCGCCACCCGGTAGTCAACATTTGCAAGCATTCTTCAGCTCGCGTCACTTGCCGCACAATGCCCGCTTTGAACTCGCACCTACTTGTTCGTATTGACTCCATTTTGGCAGAAGACTGGGTGCACGTGGATGGCGAGTCAAGGCAACGCGACCTCTCTACTTCGCGGTCCCAAGATTGGCGGCTCAGCTGAGGTATCCGAAACATGCGCAGAAAGCAGCACGATGCAGCACGTTGGCCATCGACAGAACGTTCACGTTACAATGCCTGGCCTCCTGTCTCTTGCCATGCTGCAATGCACTCTGTCAAGTCTTTGTGCTCGTCGTAGCTTGCCGGCCACAGCCTAACGTGCCGACACAATGCGCACCAAGGCTCTGCTGACAAGACTTCAAGAGGCACTGCACTCGCTCCTTCTCTCTACCTTTCTTCGCTGTTTGCAAGAGTTTGCCCTGGTGCGTGCTCTTCCTTTCGTTGCCTCCCTTAGGGCCCTGGGGCCGCCCCACTGCCACTTCTTGTTCCTCGAACTTCGAACTTCGGCCACTGATTCTGCTTCAAGTTTCGAAGTTTCGATCAAGCGAGGGAAAGAGCGCAGCGTTTTGGCTGCAACTCTGATGATACCTCTTCAGTGTCTCAAGATTATGCAAGCAACTGAGCGATGGTCAATATTGTTGTCCTCGAAGGCGGTCACTACTACTACTACTACTACTA